CTCACCGTATTAGTATTATTTCAATGGTTTATAAAGATTTGAAATAGAATAGTAATGAATAGTTTTGTTTGTTTTTTTTCTTGTGGTTGGAATTAATTGTTCTCTAGTTATTATTGAAATCATAAGGGTCGTAGTTAGTGTAGTTTAGGTTGAAAGATGATCCATTATTGATCTATTTACTATTCGGAAATTCTCATTTTATCGAGTTGATAGAAAAATTTGTTGGAAAATAGTAGTAGGGAACGATGATTCAATATTTTTGGAAGGATTAAATATGTTGGGAAATTGAAATATAGTCAGTAGGATAAAAAAAATTGTTTTGCTTTCTTTGTGATTTGGAACCTGTAGTTCCTAGTGGTAATTAATAAGGTTCTGGGTATAAATTTTGACTTAGGGGGTCACATTTAGGCATGGAAAATTTATGATAATTTAATATTGATTTCATTGTTTAGAAACTATTTTACATAATTTTGGATAAATCTTGGAATATTTCTCATAGTTATCACATTATGTTATAAGTTTTGAAATAGTAAACTAAGTAATTAATTATAGGTATATTATATTACGTGAACAACATTAATATTATGTATTTAGAGGATTTAAGATTTAACTTTAGATTGAGATCAAGAAATTGGTTATATATATATACATATTTGGGTGAGTTTTGAGTATAGGAAAAACACAAAATAAGATTTTGTACATAAATGGGATTCTATGTATTTTCTGTTTGTTTATTTCTATTATTATTGTTATTTTTCTTTTGGTCATGGTTAAGGCTACAGGTTCTGTTAGTAGTGGGTTATAATTTTTGAAATTTCTTATAGTCATTACTTATTGTTGTAGTGTTAATATAGCTAATCAATTTGGTTATTTATTTGTATTATATAAATATCATGGTAAATTGAGATTTAATCCTAGGCTTAAAATTTAGGAATATGAGACTTGGTGTAAACTAGAGGACACTAAATTTATGAATTTAATTAGTTATTATGGATGTTAGTTTTTGGTATCATTAGGTTGAATGGGTTTTGGGGTTCGGAATAGAGGTATAGCTCTATGGATGTCTATAGATTTATTGCTTACGAATATTGCATAATTGGTAGATTGGGAACGTTTGGAAACTTTGCAAAAAGGGAAGGAAAAATCGTGAGGATTGGTGGCACGTATTCGGCGTTCAAGGTATGTTAAGACTTTTTAGACTTGTTGAAGGACGTTTTTCTAATTAAAGATTAAAAATGAAAATAGATCAAGGGGTAAGGGCGAAAGATGGGGGTCTCGTATCAATGGTGTGACGGGCATTGGTACGAGTACCGGTGTTATAAAAAGGAAAATTTCCACTATAGAAGTGGATTGTAAGTTGAGAATGCCAAAGTATATGGGCATTAGGTGATATATTATTGACTTGAAATTTTTGTGTGATTGTGTTTCTTTATTACACCCGTATAGTTGTTAAAAATTGAGGTGGTTATGTAGTATGTTGATATTGATTGAGTGAGATGCATCATTATCCCCTCATATTGAAATGATATTGTATACATGCATTGACATGAGATTGAGTTTAAGTTGGGCACGTGGAGATCGTCCGTGCTGGGGATGGTGAGATGTTAAGATTGTAAATTTGGGCACGTGGAGACCGTCCGTGCGAATATTGTTTGATATTATGATAGTGCGTTGAGATCGTCCGCACAGACACGTGGAGATCGTCTGTGTCGGTATATGGACCTCGCGAGTCCCCCATGGGTCATGAACTCTCGATGTATTTCTGAGGAGTATCATGTATATACGATTGAATGAGTACTGGGTATTCTGAGACATATCATTACATGGCATCATATTGCATTGCATTTCATCCATCATTCATTCTTGATGACTATATGTTTCGTTTGGTGTTTGGAAAATATTAAATGTTGATTTCCTTTATTGATGAAACTTAAATAGTAAGTGTAATATATATATATACTTGTACAATCTAAGAATTTATTTTCTTATATAACTCCCGTCACTACTTCTTCATTGTCGGTCAATGAGACATACTGGGTACACGTGGTTTCGTACTCATACTACGCTTGTTGCACTCTTTGTGGTGCAGATTCAATTCCGAGTAGAAGCACATCCCGTGGAGCAATTTGAGTCCGAGCTTGGAGTTGTGGTGAGCTGCTTGGCTGTTCCGTGGCCCACACCTCCCTCTATCTTTTATTTATTCTGTTATTAGTATTCAAACAGGATATCCCTTATGTTAGATTTGTCAATTAGTTTCAGACTTGCATCGAATTTTAGAAGCTCTTGTACTTAAGACACCAATTCTTGGGGTTATATATTTTATCTTCCGCATTTCGTACTTATAAGGAACTCAATGTTGGAAATTCTTTCTAACCGTTGGTCTTTTTACTCATTTATTGGTTTAGTTGGGTTAATATGTTGGGTTGGCTTACCTATTGGTTGGGAACATAGGTGTCATCACGACTTGCAAAAATTTGGTCGTGACAATACTAAGGTCCTATTACCCCCTGAACTTATTTTATTAATAATTTTCTACCCCTTTTGGCCTATGTGGCACTATCTTGTGGGCCAAACGCTGGTTGACTTTTTTTTCTCAAGCTAGTGCCACGAAGGCCGAAAAGGGATAGAAAATTATTTATAAAATAAGTTTAGGGGGGTAACATGACCTAAGCATAGTATAAGAGTGTCTCTGGAATTTCGGTCATTGTTTAAGGGGGTACTTGTGCATTCCCCTTTTAGTAATATTGAATTTACATTGCACATCATTTTTTAATTAGACTTGATAGATTATATTTTTGTTACACATTTAATAATTTATGACATTGTATTTATTTATCATTCTTTTTATCGAACTGCATATCACCATGTTCGTAGAAACTTCATACTTTTAGTTGTTACGATTAATTCAATTGAAATATTTTAATTTGAAAAAATATAAATCAATTATTTTTTTCATAATATTAGTTACAGAAAATATGTTTATTAATTTATATATATATATTTTTTAAAATATATATATATATCTTAAATATTTAATTTAATGTCATTTATAGAGTTTCTTATTTGTCTAGCATAAATTTTAAATAATTAATTTTATTTTAAAAATATATTATAATTTATAATTGCAATTGTGCATCCAAAGAGAACATGTGTAATAACATTGTGACACTCGACATGTGTAATTACAATGTAATTATATTGTAGCAATCAAACAGGTCAGTGTAGTTACTAGGATAAAATTACTACCTTAGTAATTATACCAAATTTCGATTACCAAGTGGGTTTCCAAACAAACCTTTAAAGAGATTCTTTTGAGTAATTATCTCAACCCGCTGAACATTTTATATGAGTAATTTCAGTGGAACGAACTTTATGATTTTTCATTAAAAAACATTATGTGGCTCAACCATCAGAATGCATGAGATTAGTTCAGAGTATTCTAATAATCCTTTTTACGATATTGTTGTTATAATGTCACATTTAAGGCATAGAAAGGAATAAGTGTTTTTTTTCTAACATGTGCTCATAATTTTAATTTTTCCACATAATTTTAGTGGAAAGGTTATCTTGAATAAAATATAGTTATATTCAATTGCGGTCTTAAAATATTGAAATTGTAAGTGCATTCGTTCATGATGAGTTGGTAATACCAAGACCCTTAAATGGTCGCACCTCATATTTAAATTAGTAAGTGGATCTTTTACCATGAATAAAAGTAACAATTTTTCCTTCAAGTTAACTCGATACTTCATATCCTGAGTAATGGTACCATTAAGACCTTAAGCAACTAAGTGAATATTATCTAGTAACCGTGAGAAATAATTTTTTCAAGGATATCTGATACAATAAACTCAAGTTTGGATAAATTCAACATGATGAGATTATAAGGAGAATAAGCTAAGTGAACTAAATTAGGATTTGATATCTTTGCAAGTAGAAACTTCATGTTGATAACATATTGCAAAATTTAGTTTAACATAATATAATTATGGGATAATACATAAACATGACCTTTAACTTGGCTTAAGTGGACAACTATGTCCTCCAACTTTGAGTGTGTACAAGTAGACAACTAAACTTGTATAAAATAAAACAAGTAAACAACTAAACTTGTATAAAATAAAACAAGTAGACACAGGTGTTCGACATGACATAATACATGTAGGACACAAAATTGCCATGTAGGAAGAATGTGTCCATTTGTTCAATTTTATTCAAGTGTCTGCTTGTGCACATTCAAAGTTAAAGGTCATAATTGTCACGTCAAGTTAAGGGTCATGTTTATATATTATGCCTATATATAAAGCGAAGAAGACGAGATATTTAGATGAAAGAGAGAATGCTTTTTTTTAAGTGTATCTAACAACAGTAAATGATATCTCTATTAATAGATTGAGATATCATTCCAAAGGCCACCATGTTATGTACTCAAACTAGTAGATACACTATTAAATGTCCACGTCCACGTCCACTAGTTCATACATGAATATAAGTAATTGATAAATAAACTAAATGTATAATCCATTAGTTCAGTAAATTTATAACAAATATCGCAAATTTTTATGTATCAATAATATATTCCTTAATACACAGTAGAAAGTATTAGTACACGTATCGTAAAAGAAAATATCCAATGAAATACTATTAATATACAAAATCAATACATTACCTTATTTTTATTCATACACTCTGCTAAATGATTCCTTAAAAATTGTAATATTCATTCATATTTGAAATAAAATATTACTATAATTTTTACAATACCATGCACCTGAAAAAGGTGTAATTTTCCCTAAAATTGAAAGATAACTTGTATCATCTTCATCCTACCTTCCTTATTTCTTCGAAGTGGGATACATAGAGCAAAAATATAATTAACAGAAAAGAATCATCCAACGGTTCACAATGAAGCAAGTTATCCAGGGCCTACAATGGATATTCATTCAACTAAAAGTGAAATAATACCAACTCCTCTATCTAGGGTTTCAAATCCAAAACCTCCACACTGTTTCTGGAAGACCCATTACATCACTTCTTCAAGATGCAATCATATCACACTGAATTCTGCACCAAAGGTGTAAACTTTTATCTGTAAGTTGCTTTTTTCCTATTCGATTTCTGTGAGCTATTCTTGATTTATACAGAATATAAGTAGTGGGATTTTGACTAAATTTGGTTATAAGTATTAAAGTTTGAATCTTGAAAAGTTTTTGGAAGTAATTATATGGGGAAATCAGGTGGTAGGAAGAAAAAGGGTCAAAATCAAGGGGAGAACCATAAACCTGTTGTTAATGGTACTGTTGATTTGGACTCATCAATTTTTTTAAAAAGAGCCCACGAACTGAAAGAAGAGGGAAACAAAAGGTTTCAGGCTAAGGATTTTGTCGGGGCTTTACAACAATATGATAATGCTCTCAAACTTACACCAAAAACTCACCCAGAAAGAGCTGTGTTCCATAGCAACAGAGCAGCCTGTATGATGCAAATGAAACCCATAGATTATGATTCTGTTATTTCTGAGTGTACTATGGCACTTCAGGTTCAGCCTCGGTTTGTTCGAGCTCTTCTGCGAAGGGCCCGTGCACTTGAGGCTGTGTGTAAGTATGAAATGGCAATGCAAGATGTGCAAATGCTATTGGATGCTGATGGGAATCATCAGGATGCCTTGGAAATTGCAGGGCGATTGAGCATGATACTTGGTCCTCGCCAGGATGCCCAGCAAGACCTCCAGAGCCGCCCATCTCCAGCTGCACTTGGTGCATCTGCAGTGGGTGCCGCCTCTATTGCTGGTCTAGGACCCTGTTTACCTTCTCGATCAATGTCTAAGAAGCCAGTACCATCAACTGGGGCTATGGTTGTGTCAGTTAATAGTAAACCCAATAAGCCCTCTTATGTTATGCCAGCTGAAAATGGTACTCAGGCCAAAGTTCAGTTGCCAAGGGTTTCCTTGAAGCCTTCAACTGGTCCTTCTAAACCTAATGTAAGTCCTAGTAGGGATGATCAGAAGGAGAATGCTTCTACTTCAGCATCAATAACAGTCCATGGACATTCTAAAGAGGCTGTGAGTCGTTGGAGGCCATTGAAGCTTGTTTATGATCATGATATAAGACTTGCCCAAATGCCTGTAAATTGCAGTTTTAGAGTCTTAAGGGATATTGTTATGAAACGGTTTCCGATGTCCAAATCTGTTCTTGTTAAATATAAGGACAGTGACGGTGATTTGGTAACTATTACCTGTACGGCTGAGCTTAGATTGGCCGAGTCCTGGGTTGATAGTCTAGTACCAAAAGACCCTGATGCAGATGAAGGTGACTTCATAGGGATGTTGAGATTGCATATTGTCGAGGTGAGTCCTGAACAAGAACCAGCTTTGTTGGAAGAGGAAGAGAGGCCTGTTGAGAGTGAGGAGAATATAGCAGATGAGAGTGTATCCCACTCTTCACTAAGTGATTCCGTTGTGGAAACTCTGGAAAGTGAGATTAACAAGTCAGAGAAGGGCATTACGAAAGAGAAAACCATAACAGAAGGTCCTGAATGCAAGGAGGTTGAGATGGATGATTGGTTGTTCGAGTTTGCTCAGTTATTCAGGACTCATGTTGGCATTGATCCGGATGCCCACATTGACCTGCACGAGCTTGGGATGGAGCTTAGCGCTGAAGCCCTTGAGGAGACTGTGACAAGTGAAGCAGCTCAAGCTCTTTTTGACAAGGCTGCCTTAAAGTTTCAGGAAGTGGCTGCTCTGGCTTTTTTCAACTGGGGAAATGTTCACATGTGTGCAGCAAGGAAACGAATGCCAATTGATGATTCTGCGTCAAAGGAGACGATGGCTATCAAGCTTCAAGCAGCATATGACTGGGTGAAAGAAAAATATTCTCTGGCCAAAGAGAAGTATGAGGAGGCTCTCTCGATTAAACCAGACTTTTACGAGGGGTTGTTAGCATTAGGGCAGCAGCAATTTGAAATGGCAAAACTTCACTGGTCCTTTGTCTTGGCTAAGAAAGAGGACCTGTCAAGTTGGGATCGTACTGAGACGCTTGCTCTATTTGAAAGTGCAGAAGAGAAAATGAAAGCAGCAACTCAGATGTGGGAAAAGCTGGAGGAGCTTAGGGATAATGAACTAAAAGATCCTAGTACAATCAAGAAGGATGAACTACTAAGGAGAAAGAAGAAACAGGGAAGTGGTCCTGAAGGTGAGGTGTCAGCTACAGGTGGTCCAGGTGAAATTTCAGCTGATGAGGCTGCACAGCAAGCTGCTGTAATGCGATCTCAAATACATTTATTTTGGGGTAATATGCTTTTTGAGCGGTCTCAAGTTGAATGTAAATTGGGGTTGATTGGTTGGAAGGAGAAGCTTGATACTGCTGTTGAAAGATTTAAGCTTGCTGGAGCTTCTGAAATTGACATCTCAACAGTTCTGAAGAATCATTGTTCCAATGAAGAAGCTACCCAGGGATCTCAGGAAATGGTTGAGAGCCTGAAGACTGAGGGGAATGATAATCCAAATGACTAGAATGATGCTAGTAAAGCTTAGGCTACCTGACACTAATTTTAGCAATATTTATTTTTCTTACAAACAACATTTATGTTCACGAGATAAGAAAATTTTGGCCTTGCAACGTCAATTATACATTTAAGTTTTTATGATGAAACAAGAAGTTTGCTGTTATATGGGAACTATTATGATATAGTCAATTTTTTAAACAAACATTTGTTCTTTGAAATAGGTTTCTTGTTATTTCTCTTCTCCTTTCTTGCTCCCTTTCCGAAGTACATAGTTCGGATTCTGTCTGTTTCATGGCTGATGAGATGTTTCTAACGTTCTGGGATAGTTGTTCTGTTTGATAGTGATTTTGGAACTTGTGATGCATAGCTATTATATTTGCTGTTAAACATTTTCAAAATGATTCATAAGCAAGCCTGCCTCTTTGTCTTGTTTAGACACTAATGCCTGAAGTCCTATGTGAAGTTCTCTTGTCATTTCTGAGGAAGAACCCTGATGAGCTTCCTTGAAGTGTATGTGCCATTTATCCTGTTATTGTGACAGTAAAATTCGTTGTATGATCATAGATATCTAATATGATTATAGCAAAATTTTACATGCAACAGAAGACCATAGTTCTTTATGGGTTACATGTTTTCCATCCAAGATTATGTTGGCCACCCATGCCTCTTATTGTGCTTGTCTCCTTTTTCATTTGCCTCACTTTCTGAGAATTCACGTAACCTTTGGTTTCATCTTTGAAATGGGAAAAAATGGCGAGGGCTGTCTACTGTTGAGCTGGAACCAGTTAAAGGGGTTCAATACAGAAGCTTTTGTCTCTCTATCTGTGCACCTATAATTTGTGATCCAGTATGCGGTAGCATTATCTCAGATTTGTAGATCTTATCTAAACATGCATATAGGTAATGGATTTGTGAGAACCCCAAGGTCATTAGTGTGTGCTCTAGGCATAGTAGTAGCAGCCTGGAGATGCTAGGTTCGATTTTCTGTGACACTTGGTGTGAGCCCATCTGCTTTAACTTTGGTGCACGCAGTTACTCAATCTCTATGCTTGTGGGCTGTAAAGGCTGTTTGATGGATTGTGTGCCTCGTGCTAACACGGACACCACCCTCATAAAAAATAAATGTGTGGGGATATGGATGCTCAATGTGGACGAAGCTAATGAGCAGGATCAGAGCTCGTCTTCCATTACATCCCTTTCTAGGGAGCTTTTTTTTCTTTTTTAAATCTGTATGTCCAATGTTTAAACTTCTGCTGTTCTTTCTTCTGTTAATCCCTTTTGTTCTGGTAGATCCAGAATAACATTCTTTTAATTCAAGCAGTTCTAGCCGTTAAGGAACATGAGAACTGGAATTAGGTACACGTGTGTGTTTTTAAGTGTTATGCACAGTATAATTTTCCAGAATGATGTTCAACTTACCGTCCTTCGCTGACTGTCTGAATTCTGATGCACTTCACATACATTGTTTGCAGGTTTAGATGTTGTTGCTAACTTTTCTAGTATCTGCATACCTAGTGCTCATTTGTTAGGAGGAAAGATTACTACTCATTTGGTATGAGGTATAAGGGATAATAATCCCGGGGATGAAATGCAGGATTATTTTTTCCTGTGTTTGGTTAGGGGTATTAGTTAGTCTCAGGGATATATGGTGGGATGTCCCAATCCATGGAATAAGTTCACCAGCTCTGTGTTTTAGAGATATAATATTAATACTGATTCCATGTTTGGTTTGGATTGCTAAGCTCTTTAATATTGGGTTTAAGTTCTTGCAATAAGAAACTAAAATATTTACACAATCAGGTCAGGACAATGTAGTTGTAGGTAAATATCTGCACTAAAAATTCAATAAAAATGATATTAATATGCTGTGATCGTGTAAAAATAATGTTAATGATATTGGTGTATATAATGTAAATACCTTCCAGGCTTCAATGAACATGAATGAAGATCATTACATTTAACTAGGTATGGCAAATGGATGGTGCGGGGTGAAAATGAAAATGTCAGCTTTATGGTTTCCATAAAGAATCCCCTGAAAATGTCACCAGTGATTTAGTGGAAGAAAAAGAGTATATATCTGTCTAGTTACCATGTCATTTCCTTCTTTTAACAAAAGGGGCATCATAGATAGGATATTCTTTTGCTCAATGAATTTATCAGGTTGCCCTTGTAAGTGACCTGATTGTATGAATCTTGACATCGTGCGTAAAACTTAAACTCAATAAATTAGTATGCTGGGAATAAAAGATTTCATAGGAAATCTGAGAACTTTACAATCAAATCCTCTTAACATATCACACTACCAGACAAGAGTACATAAACAAAACCCAAGTTGCACAAAGCAAGATAAAGCACCCCACTAATTAAACCAACATTAACAAATTATTACAACGTCATTATCTTAGTACTAAACAATCTTTTCTTCCCATTCCCATTAATTAGTGTTGTATTAATACTGGTCTCATCAAACAGTTGCTATTGGGCCCAAGTTGACAGCAGTTTCCACAGCCTTCATTGCTTCAAACCTTGGCTCTTTAGCTTGGAATTTGAGACCTGCATATAATTTCATATAATCCTCAAAAACAAATTTGGGATACATTATTGTGTTCTCTTTTTCTTCCTTCTCCAGCAATTCTGGTGCTGGATAGATGACAGCATCACTCCCCGGATTGTAGAACGAAGCCAAGGACATTCTGTTTCCATCAGGCTGAGCAATCACCCTGTGCTCCACACTCTTGTATTTTCCATTAGTAATCACCTAAAAACCATCCAAAACACAAATCAACAATGTTATTAATGAGTTCAGCATCGAACTTTTACATCATCAGATCATTTAAAAAGATAGAGAATTGTCAATATTTAGTCAAACTAGTATGGATTTAACTTATATGTATGAGTAAATCCTTTTTACACTGTCTTATTTATCTTCTAGGTGATCTGATAGAGTAAAAATTCTCAGAGATAGCAAGGTATCCGAAGTAGTGACCTTGAAAATACAGTAGAGAACATGATGCTATATGTTAAATCACATTGATATATAATATATGTGTGTATATAGGTTAAATCCTTGGATACCTCGAGTTGGTCACCGAGGTTGATGACAATGGAGTGGCGCATCGGTGGAACATCAATCCATTTGTCATCTTTGAGTAGTTGGAGACCACTGACTTTGTCATCTTGGAATAGAAGGATGATGCCACCAGCATCTGTGTGAGCCCTCAGCCCTTTAATGAGATCAGGCTTAGGACATGGTGGGTAGTTGCTAACTTTGGTGCCAAAAGTAGGACCCTTTGAGCCATAAAACACTTTCTTCAAGTAACCTTGCTCTAGTCCTAGATTTTCACACAGCAAATCCAACAGTTGCTCTGCTAGTTTCTCCAGTTTATCAGCAAACTCCTTCATGATTTTCCTGTCATGTTTCATGTTAAGTCAGCATGGAAAATCCACAGTTCCATAAGTATAATTTTTTATTTAGAAATAACTTAACCAAAGATTTCCTTTTTAACCTTAATGAAACGATTTATAGCCAGTCAATGAGTGTTTTAGACCACAAATTTCAAAAGTCTATCTTTCTTTTTTTCTTCTTAAATTTCATGTCAAGTCAAGCGACGTTATATAAATTTTGACGGAGGGAGTGGGGCAAAACACGGAGATCCCTCTGACCTATAATCATCTTCAAGATCAGGAACTTCTGAAATGTTTGAAACAGGAAGATGTTTCAAGAAGAAAGTACTTTCCCAGTCCAAATCATCAATTTCAGTCTGAACACCTTCAAGGCCTTTACTTGCCACCATTTCCTTGAACCTTTGTTCCATACACTTCTTGTAATGTTCCTTTGTGAACTTCTCTACTGTGTCCAGAAGCTCATGAGAGATCCCATGATTAATCACCTTCATATATACAGAAACATAGCAAAAAATAAGTGTTTATATAATCAGGTCATTTATAAGCAATAACAAGTAAATCTATGTGCTCATTTGAACTCGGTATTTTTAACGTGGAGCTTCAATACAAGATTAATGATTGAACTCATAAATTTTAAATCTTGAATCCGTCTCTTTACGTGACATGTGTATCATGATATCTCATAAAAGTTGTATGAGATACTCTGGTGTCAGTGTTACCTCAAAGAATCCCCAGTTCTCACAAGCATCTTTTATTTTCTCCAATGCTGCAGCCCTTTTTTCAGTGTTAAGCATCTCCATGTTAACTACTGGGAAAGTCTCCATCTTTTTCTATTATACTATTTCTCCCTCACACTTCAAAGCTCTTAATTAATTTCTGTGCAAGATGGATATGAATGGGTATTTGAAGGGGGTATTTATAAGACTTTTGTTAAGGTCATTCAGAAAAAGAAAAAAAAATATTTTATTTTTCATAAAAATATAGAAACACAAGTAAATAAACAATGAAATCTAGGAAGTAAGTAGAGTAGTGGGGGATGTTATGTGTGTACATTCTGCTTAGGACCTACCAATGTTTTGGCTGAATATTAATCAGTCATATTTTGATTACTGTTGTGTCTTCTTTTTATTTGTCTCTCCTATCCTTTCGTGGGGTTCCTTTTAGTACTTCTTCTACTCTTTGCCTTACTTTTCTTATCGAGCATCGTAAAATCGCAAGTTCAATTTCCAGCAACAATGAAAAAGTCAAGTGATTTTTTTCCATCTATTATAGTCTTGATTGACAGAGTTATCTAAATGGTGTTGCATATAAGAAGTGTCAGATATTATGCATAATTGGTCAAGATATACGAAAGATAAAACCTATCATGATTATGAGAAAAAAAAAGAGTCTTAAAATATGCATTTAAAAATGTGATTCATGTGGTAAATGAAATGTATAAGATACTAAGGTTTAAATCAGAGTTGCATATTGAAATAAAGTAAGATACATTTAATAAATTAGTCGAGATATGTACGAGTTATAGTCCGATATCAAAATTATAGGAAAGAAAGGGGAAAAGTACTAAACTTTGGTCAATTAATACCCTTATAATTACTCGTATTATTCTTGAGGATTAAGTTCCGTCTTGAAATAGATAGACTTCACATGTTCAAATTCTTTTGGATAAAAAATTTAAATTTATCTCTCTATTTTTTTCTATGATTAGAATTATTATTCTTAGATTTGAATTCGTAAAGGGTCAAGGGCAAAAATAAATATTATACCAAAATTTGTAGAAATAGCAAAATAGTTCAATTTCGAATAATCTAAAAGCAAATTTGGTCCTTTTCTCAAAAGGGAAAAAAGAAGAAACAAAAAAAAGGAAGTCCAAAGCACTATAACAGTGAAGTAGGGACGCAATCACAATATTATCTACATATATAAAAATTCTTAAAATTCTTAAAATTCTCATGGGAGAAGAAAAATCACAAAGAATTTAATGAGAATTTTAAGACATTAAGAGCATGTTTCACATTAAATAATTTTTTAGAAAAAGTATTTTTAAAGAAAAAATAATTTGTATTGGCAAAAACGATTTTTTAAAAATTAATTTTAAAAATTAAATTACAAAAATGATAAGTATCTTTGTAGGATATAATATGTAAACTACAAAAAAAGTGGAGTTTTTTTTTATTTGTGATCTTTCTAGGGGAGCTGACATTTTTAATTGTTATTTTTAATAGAAAAAATTGCTAAAGTATTATTGAAAATATTAAAAAGAAGAATCTTTTCGTTATTTGTTTCCTACTATTTCTTTTAGGTTCAATCTTTATCTATTATGTTTTCTTTTTCTTTTCATAATACTCTAAAGTTTTTTTCTAAAAATCCAAATTAAAATAAAATAATAAGTAAATTAAGAAACTAAAGAAAAATGTTATTTATAACTTTTTGGGAGGATTGAAATTTCTAATTTGTTACTTTTTCTCTCTTTCTTTTTCAATTCTGCAAAATGTTGTGACTTTTATTCTTATTTTGCAAAATAAATGTCACATAATACAAAATATAAATAATAATATATAAACATAAAATAAAATAAAACAACATGTCATATAAGAATAAGAAATAAAATTCTTGAATGGATTTTAATCAAATTCATGAGATATATTAATTATTTAATAAGGAATATATCGGTAAATATGTATATATTCAAGGGGTATTTTAGTCTAGAAAAAATAATTTTTTGCTTTTGCTTATTTTAAAGAACAGAATCATCTAATTTCCTCTTAACAGAAAAAACTGTTTCTACTTCCATTTAAACAGTTTTAAGGATTTGTTAAACTTATAAAAAGAATTTTAAAAAAAATGAAAAAAGAAAAAAAAAACATTTTGGCCTTTAGTATCAATGTCAAACAGATTCTAAGTTGTAATTAAAAAAAGTCTAAAGTTAGGAAAATCATGTGTTTTACACGGGCCTAATGGTTATTCATAATTTCTTTTTTCAAGGGGTTAGTTAAATGGTTTTAAATTTTCGATTTAATAATTTTTTGAAAATTTAATGTGAGGGTTCGTTGAAATGTTCATAAGTGATGTAGTTCAATAATATTGATCTACTGTTTACTTGGTATACATCTTAAGAAATAATAAATTATAAGATAATATTTTTCTCTGAATATTTTAAAATTAATGCTTTGAGAAATTTATTGTATATCAATTATCAAACAGTATTCAATACAAAAGGTAAAATAAACATAAATAAAAAAATTATTTCTCAATTTTTTAAATTAAATAAGTATTACTAGACAACTATTTTTAATAAAAGTAAAATAAATGGAAAAAATTAATATTTTTCATCATCTACTATTAATTATTTTACTTAAAATAGTTACAAAATACACACAAATATTAACGATATTCAAGTAACAAAAGTGTAATTAAAAAGGTAAGAATTTTTTTCAAGGCTAAGAAGCATTGCAAAAATATTCCTACTAAAACAGGCAGATTAACAAACTATTGTTTACTTTAGCATCTAACACCCTCTAATAATATAATAAGAGGAAAAAATATATTTAAGATAATGATGTAATTTATTTATTAACAGTGCCTAATATCACAAATCTCACCGACTTAAAATTTCATAATCTCTATAATTATTGTAAACGTGCAGAAAAAATCCCTCCAAATTATAGTTACGTCGCTAACTCATTTATACTATTAGTATATAATAATTATAGGATAATGCTAAGTGATTAAAAAATTTGGTTAGAATTTGATCAGAAATTAAAAAATTTATATTATCTTTATCTTAAAACAATTTTTTTTTATTTTTTAGTTAAAATATATTAAAATTAAAACGGTAAAAATATTCAAAAAGATAAAATAATATAAGTAAAATGCCATATTTTCTGGCCAAATTTATTTTTTCATAATTATATATCAATCTTGTTTATTAAAACTATTCCTCTATTCAATAATATTTTGTCCAAGATTGATTTTGCATACTTCTTAATAAACTATAATTAAAAGAGTAATTTTTTTATATTACTTTGAATATAAATAAAACGTCTTGAAAAATATAATAGAAAAATAAGTATAATCAATGACAAGTGTAAATTAAAAATAACTATATAAAATTATTTATTAATTTTATAAAGTAAACAATACTATTAGACACCCCAAAATAATATAATGAATAATTATTGTTCGACGATAGAAGTATATGAATGACTATTAATATGTATATTTTGTTATACATATATGAGTAAATCGTATAATTTGTATTTGTATAAGCGAGAAAGAGAGAAAGATAAAAGAAAATTGGGTAGGAAATCATCTGTAATTATATAATTCTAAGTGTACAGAACAAATATATATGTATTTGTATTTGTATATACAATTTTCTCCAGTTTATATATATAACTTCAAATATTAATTGCAAATGAAACTCAAACGTATTTTATCGGTGCAAGTTATGTAAAGAAATTCGTCTTTATCCTTATTTATCTCAAGAAATAGTTGGAGGCATAGTATTCTTGACAAAGACAAATATATCTTTTAGTTAACACAATAAATGTTCTAAGCGAGACATCCTCTTAACATAATTTTAAATTTTTAAGTATTTTATACTTTGACTTTCCCTTCATTTTTTTTTCACTCACACAAAAAAAACTGCTCTAACGATACTGAATTAAATTAAACCGATCGAATTAGTTTAATCTGTTATACAAAGTACATTTTTCTAAAATTGAAGAATGAAATCAAAGTTTGACAAAATCAAACCAACAAACCAAACACTCACCCCTACTTGAGAACCTATCAAAAATTATATAAAATTAAAGAATAATACATGAATAACTTTATTAAATATGATATAAAATTAATACATGAATAATCAAGTTATTCATAACTTTGAACTTAACCAACTACCTAAGGACCAATAATTGTTTATAAGATGGGACTTGCTAGTGACAACCTCTTTTATTTTGGTATTTGATCTTTAGCCAACTGATAACATTTTTATGAAAAAAAGAATAACACTCATGATCAATGACAACATCAACATTATTTTGAGTGACACTTTACCATAAAAAAAAGTTGATCAAGAATGGAGAATAGTGGTAAGCATGCCTTGTACATGTTATCCATCTCTTTTCTCTTTAGTACTTTATATGTAGACTCTGGATTTGATGAATGACGCAACAAACTCAAAAGTTTATTATATATTTATTTCACTTTTTTTTTTTATAAAAAAAAAACAGAAAAGTAATAGAAGTATAAGAAAATATAACTGAAAATTCGATTCAAGTTTGGAGTACTTTTATGCCTTTTTTCTTTTTATATTTTGGAAGAAATTTAATTTAACATTCTCATTTTATTCTCAGAATCGAGAAGTACCAATTTATTGTATTTATGAAACAAAAGAGTAGTATTTATGAAATAAGAGGCCTTAAATTTCGTGTTTAATCAAATAAGTATCATATCATTACCTAACTAAGGATCGACTGATGAAATATTTATTTTTTATACAACAAATCAAATGATTATATAAAATATTTCCTCTGTCTTAAAATGCTTATATATAGTTCAAAATACTTGTCAAACGAAAAATATAAGATAAAATTACTAATTTTTTTTCTCATTTTATCTTTGGTAATAATTATTTTGAATATTACAAATATTTCGATATGAGTCAATAATAATGATCCGTAGAAAAAAAAATACTTAATTAAAGAGAATTATGTTTAAAATATAAATAAAATAATCAAATATTTCTCTTTATTAATATTTTCTTACAATGTAAATGAAAAAAAATATTTTGAGAAAGGGAAATAATAGGTCATACGATTAATGCAGTCATGCACGTATTTAAATTTGATTTAAGGGACTGTCAATTAACTATTCTTTTCTCGTACGCCAGTATAATACCCCTTAAT